GAACCACGAACCCTTCAGGTTGTTCCATATAAATTTCTTCCTCCAAATATCCATTTAAGAAGGTTGACTTTACGTCCATTTGATGGATTTCAAGGCCATACACGGCGGCTAACGCTATTACCATCCGAATAGATGTAATTCTCGTTACCAGTGAGCATGTGTCAAAGTAATCAAGACATTCTCGTTGTCTTAATCCTTAATCAACTTGCCTTATATTTGTCAATAGTACCATCTCTTGAAAACCCATTTGGAACCCAAAGGTTTATTTCCTGTAGGAAGATCAACCAATTCCCAAGTATGATTACTTAATATGGATTCTGTCTCACTATTGACTACCTCTTTCTAACATTGCTTCTTTAAATGTTTGAGGCTCATTTTCTAACAAGAATGTCAGAAAATCTGGTCCAAAGGAAGTAGTTGTCTTTTGACGCTTACTACATCTTGGATTCACCTCATTATGTGTACTTTCCTTTTCTTCTTCCCGAGGTCGCTTAGATATTTCACTAGATGACTCACATTTCTTTTATACGGATAAATATTCTCAAAGAGTTCAGCATTATCCGATATGATTACCGTATTAATATGAATGTCGGGATTTTCTGATTTATGAATCAGAAAACGATATGCCTTACTATTTGTTGCATATCCTATAAAACCGCAATCAATAATTTCCGGTCCGATCTTTACCTTTTTTTTTGGGTTTAGGAACTTGCTTTTTAGCTAAGTACCCCCACACTTTAAAATATTTAAGTTGGGCTTCCTTCCATTCCATTTTTCGTATGGAATTGATTGCGTCTTGCTATTGGGAACTCGACTGAGTATACGGTTATCTGAAAGAATAATTTTCCCTCCCACAAGTTCTGGGGTAAACCAGAACTTATCAACAAGGCATTCATCATCTCCTTTAACGTTCTATTCTTTCTTTCTGCAATTCCATTAGATTGCAGTGACTAAGGGGCGATTGTTTGGTGAATAATTTCATATTGAAAACATATTTCATCAAAAGAAGATTCATATTCGACGTCCCTATTACGTTGTTGAGCCAACCACAAGAATTGTTGTTTGTGTCAAGACATAGCCAGAATTAATATATGGTGAAGTTTTTAATCTTCAAACCAATCTGACATATTCAGAATTAATAAACTGTGAAGTTTTTAATCTTCAAACCGAGTAACGTCTGATACAACTAGATCTAATAAACGGTGAAGTTTTTAATCTTCAAACCGATTAATATGTGACACAATCAAATTTAATAAACGGTGAAGTTTTTAATCTTCAAACCGAATAATAAATTGGAGTAGAATATCACTAAGATTTTAATCTCCAAAACGAGTATAAAGTTACTTCGACTTTAATCTCCAAAAAACGAATAGAATATTACGACGATTTTAATCTCAAAGATTAAGTAGACAATCACGCAGATTTTAATCTCAAAGTAGGAGTAGAAAATCACTAAGATTTTAGTCCCCATAACGGGATTATACATTCACGAGAATTTTAATTCCCTTTCCAAAAGGTTTTTCCAACTAAACCATTATACACTTTAAACAGTTTGATCTCTTTTTCTAATCAAACACATATATGTTCACCTTTACGTTCTGTGTTTCCATTGATTCCAACAGTGACGAAAATTCTGCCCAAACCGCTCCATTATGGATTTCTTCGAGTATGACACTCCATTAATCCAATGTTATAAACGTTTGAAATATGATCCTATGTTCTTATTTGTTTCCATCTGATTGGAACCAAACATCAAAATTCTATGTTTTATTTGTTCCCTAGGATAAGAGCGAAGAAGAATACATTATTGAATGTTTTGCCATGAAATTAATTGCAACAAGCAACAACCAGAAAGTCCGCTTGTGACTACATTTCAAAAGTGACATGGACGGTCAGAGAAAATCAACCTTCCATCCCAACTAGTTACCACTCTTCATCAGTAAGAGCAATGATATTAAGAAATTGCTCTCTCAACTCTATGAATTGATCCATAAAAAAAAAACATTAATGATTGTCGAACCGACGCCTTCACCAGATTGGTTTTTCTAGTTCACGAATGATGCATCGTCAAATGCCACTAAGTCACTTGGAAAATTGCACTTAACTGAGTTATTCATACGAAGCCCCTAGGTTTGAATTTATACTCATAGAATATATGGCAATTCTCCATTTCCAGCAAACTCGAAGTTCGTGGTTGTTCGAGACTTTTACCTATCCTCTTTCGCTTAGTCTCCAACGAAGAGATGCAAAGACGAACACAGAAAATAAATAATAAAAATATTAAATTCCTCAAGATTGTTGGTATTACTGTGTTCAAAATCAGAAAAGTAAACAAACGTTAGGTCAATAAACAAAACATAAAATAATTCCGAGCCCCCTGAATGCACAGTGTGTCCTTAAGGAATTTAATCCCCTCACTGTTGCCCAAGGTATACGGATTAGTTCCTCACAGGATAGAATGGAATAACTATTCTGTGATAGCGGCACTTCAAATCACAGAACTTCAGCGAACTCAACAAACGGAGCAAATCACACTTGACACTTATGTTTATTTAGAAAATAATACAACAATGTAGACAAGAGGGGAAAAGATTTCAGATTTTTCATGTCTGATTTCATGTTTGAAAAATGAGGCCAAGCCTCTAAATTTATAGACAAAGGAAGAGTGATATGGAGAGGTGCAATCTAAACGGTGCCTCTTCCATTTCCCATTCACACCCCTTAATAAAAATGCAACAATTATAATGAGGTGAACCAACCGATGAACATGATCAAAATCTATTGCAAATTGGATTTGTTTCATGAATGAATGTGCTATAATTTGCATATCATATAGACGTATGAATAAATAACATACAAATGCTTGAAAATGACGGAGTAATTGCGAAATGTGTTTTATATTAAAAGGTTGTGGCCACAACTGATGCCAATCATTCTAGCTGTTTTTATAATATACGATTGATACATTAAGTGTAGTCAATAATGTGATATGCAATCGAAATTCGATACGTATTAGTCTACGACATAAGAAAGTTTGCATTGAACTTTCATGACAATGAAACGAGTTTTGAAGTATTTGAAATATACTCCAAATTATGCTTTGCACTACAATAAGTATCCCGCGCTAATAGAGGGGTATAGTGATGCAAATTAGATCACCGGTTCAACCGATTCTAAACAGTCGGTGGAGGAGCGATGTCTTGGAAATCATCCAAACAAATGTGTATTGAACGCTCTATAGTGGAGATTGAGTTTATAGCCTTAGACAAGGCCGGTGAAGAAGTTGAATGGCTCCGGAATTTCTTGGAAGATATTCCATTTTGGCCAAACCTTTGGCACCTATGCGTATACATTGTGATAGTCAAGCGGTAATAGGCAGGGTAAGGAGCGTTATGTATAACGAAAAATCTCGTCACATTCGACGGAGATACAATACCGTTAGATAACTACTCTTTAGTGGTGTTATCACGATTGACTACGTGAAGTCAAGAGATAACGTGTCGGATCCACTTACAAAAGGCCTATCTAGAGAGGCAGTTAAAATATCATTGAAAGGAATGGGGCTAAGGCCTAGGACAAGTCATCATGGCGGTAACTCTACCTAGCAGACCGGAGATCCCAAGAGCTAAATTCAAAGAGATCAAACAAAGTTATGAATGACGGTTCAACATTGTCAAATAACTCAACCCATTCTCGTGATGAAGACAATGTTCAGAAATCAAAATAAAGCATTAAGGCTTTTTGATGAGTCAATAAAGCTTAAAGCTTTTTAATAATTTTCTAAGTCTGGCAGGATATGACCAGATAGTGTGTCTATTGGATTACACGTTTAGAAATCACCTATGTGAGTGTTAAGTGTAAGCCGCTTTAAGGGGAATGCAAGTAAAGGCCCATTCTCTAAGCACTCATGAAACCAGGCGGTGTTCATGGCTGAAACGAACACAACCGTGAGAACCAAAGACGGTTAAGGGTTAATTATGTGACTTATGATTGTCTAAGTATACACCAAAGTTCGACGGTTCAAAGATATCAAATCTACCGATTGACCGAGTATATCCGACATAAGTTCACTACGGAAAGGTCAAAGGGAAACCTACTTATCCAGATGCGATTAATCCTTATTTGTGAATCACACGGTATTTTCATGCGTGTTTTTTCTCATATGACCATTCCCCATTCATATGGGGGATTGTTGCGTTTTTATTAAGGGGTGTGAATGGGAAATGGAAGAGACACCTTTTAGATTGCACCTCTCCATATCACCCTTCCTTTGTCTATAAATTTAGAGGCTTGGCCTCATTTTTCAGACATGAAATCAGACATGAAAAATCTGAAATCTTTTCCCCTCTTTTCTACATTGTTGCATTATTTTCTAAATAAACATAAGTGTCAAGTGTGATTTGCTCCGTTTGTTGAGTTTGCTGAAGTTCTGTGATTTGAAGTGCCCCTATCACAGAATAGTTATTCCGTTCTATCCTGGGAGGAATTAATCCATATACCTTGGGCAACAGTGAGGGGATTAAATTCCTTAAGGACACACTGCGCATTCAGTGGGCTCGGAATTATTTTACGTTTTGTTTATTGAACTAACGATTGTTTACTTTTTCGATTTTGAACACAGTAATACCAACACCGCCCGATAAGAGTTAAAACGATTCCAATCCGTCCGATATCTTATCGGGTGGCTAGCGGTGAAATTTTCCCTTTTATTTTTGTTAATAATTTTTAAATAATTTATATTAATAACACTATTTGTGTGAATTAACTTGTATACAATGTCCCAAGCTACAAAATACTTTGATTAAGAGTAGTTACTTTTAATTAAGTTTAAAGTTGAGTGTACAGTCATGTTTACATAATTTGTGTTTAGGAGTTAGATTTTAAACGTAAATTATAGTAGTTGAATATATAATTCTTTTGACGGTCAAGAATATTCTATACTCGAAGAAGAGAAAATTATTACGTGAAATTATTATTTTAACTTTTTTTTGTTGTATAATTAGAACCCTAAAACTCATTCTTTTCTCTCAACGAATTGAAAGTTTGAAACCCACTCCAGCCGATAATCCTTTTCACATACGCGGGGAAAAAAAAACAGAGCATTTCAGAAGCTGATGGCCGGAAAAACAGGGTCTACGCCGGCGACATATTCGCCGTCTCCGGCGACGCGGAAGAAGAAGAGAACTCCCATTGGTGATGCTGATTGGGTTCGCCCCGATAATCGTAGCTTCTACCAGTGCCGTCCTGCTTGTACTCCTCTTTCTCTCTCTCTCTCTTTCACACACATGCACTTTTATCTCTGTGATTTTTTTTCGTTGGTATCCTTTTCTGGATGATCTGTTAGTGGATGTTAAATGAGTTTAAGTTTTAGAGGAAATATCTAATGACGAAATATGCACTTTCTATGTGTAACTTGTATTTTCTACATTTATATTTCATAGAGCATTCAACGGTGTGGACTAGTGGTCAATAGAGTGGGAGGAGAACCATGACTCAAGTTCAAACCCCCCTTGATGCAAAAAAAGCACCGGGTGATTCTTCTCATCCGCCTACGGCTTGGTGGGTAGAGACTAGAGTTGCTCTGTGCCTGTGCTGTTGGGTGGTAGCAGATACCCCGTGGAATAGTCGAGATGCATTTAAGATGGCCTGGACACCACCGTCAAAAAGAAAATACTCCATGGTTATAGGGAGAGTTTTGCTGGGTTTTGTTTTTTTGGGGGTTTTGTGTGTGTGTGTGTGTGTGGTGGTGGTGGTGGTGGG